TTTTTCCTTTTGCGGATGGCATGAGGCTAAGCCCAGAACCTCACTCGGCAGACAAGTACGACCGTCGTCACCCTGTCGCTTCGTCGTCGATTTGAGACTTTGGCCTCCGTTCCTCTTGAAGACCCCCAGGCTCTTTAGGCTTTCCTGGATCTTTCAGGATTTGGGTTTCTTAGGCTGGCGAGTGGCACCGCATTCAGTTCCGTACGCAATATCTCAAGTGTGTGTGTTCCAGTGCTCTGTGGCTGTTTGTACTGTTTTGGGACTGTTGCGCAATAGGTCTAGCATTGGGTATGGTATTGTAATCTTTCCTGGATGCTTCTCACAGAAGTTTGGAGCCTTCTTTTGTTACGTACAACCATTCACCCTTTACTTGTGGTAGCTTGATGCCATTCATCCTTGACCTGTGGCAATGGTAATGCAACTGGGGATGGCAATCAATGCAAATATAATGGTGATGATAATGCCACTCACCATATATGAGCTGTGGGACCTTGATACCATTCACCCGCGTTGACCTGTGGGAGGTTGATGCCATGCACCCTGTGACCTGTGGTAATGGCTATGGTAATGGCACTGGTAATGGCAATTGTGATGGTAACGCCACTCACCCTTTGTTTGACCTGTGAGGGTGTGATGCTAATGTTAATGCTAATGGTACTGGGCATGCTGATGGTACTGCTAATGCTGATGCTGATAGCAATGGCTGGTCAACAGTACTGGTAATGGCCATTCACCCTTGACCTATGGCAATGCTATGGAAATGGTGATGGTAATGCCATTCACCCCTTGACCTGTGGGAGCTTGATGCCATTCACCCGCGTTGACCTGTAGTATAATGGACCTGCTGCATTCACCCTGTCTGTGGGAGGGGGATTCGGCCAACAATGAATAAACAGTTGATAATAGTTGATACCACCAAAAAGCAACACTATTTCTTTTGGCCGACCCCCCCTAGATCTGAACTAACAAGACTCACGAGCAGACAACGGCCACGTACCGAACCAAACCGCCTTGGAAACGATCTGCAACGACAACGAGGTCTCGTCCTCAACGTCTGAACACCTTCAACATGCAAAGTACTAAACAGAGGGTGGAAAACGCACACCTGTATAACGTCCTTTTCTGTGAAAAAAGAAGTGAAAAACGGTGCCCGCACTTGGCCGATGTACCTAGTACCCAACCCAACCCTCAGAGTCCAGCGTCTTCTTCGACCAACAACAAAAAAGAGACTTGGCCGAGCTGCCCCAAGCATCCAATTCTTGCTGCAGCGCCAGTTGCTCCTCATCCACCTCGGACTTCCGACCCCCGCCCGTCCGAACTCGGAATTGGGACGGACCCACTCCTGTGACCGGAGCCTGGTTTCGTGGTGTAAACGATGTGGTGTAAGACCCTGAGTGAAACGACGGGTTCCTTCGGGAAGAATCGGCTCTTACATCCGGCCGGGCAGGCCTGGCAGGCCTGAAGAATCCGCCGAAACTGAATGGCCTGAGACCATCCGTGAACCTGGCGGCTGGCCTATTGACCTTATAAGCCTACATTGGGGGTGGTTGAAAGGAGGTAGGCGCAGATATTCCATACATTCGACAATATATGTCACCATCCGAGGAACTCCTGAGATCCCAATACTTGAAAGACAGATCCTTTCCCTTCCCATTCAGGTGCCTGGTTTTCCACTTGGAGGCCACTCCCTCCAATGGTCCTCATGGGTCTTACTTACGCAGATGGCAGGGCTAAAGGACGACAAGACGGAGGACCGACGAACAATCCGAAGACCCATGGCCAGGTGGTTTACTCCACTTCCATGGATTCTTTCCAGGGAGTGTATCTACTCTGGGTCCAGCAAATCATGCGAGAAAAAAAGGGCAAACACAAAAACATACCATGCCGAAAGGAGGGCCATTTGTCCGAAGTCCAAACAGTTGGTTTTCCACGTTGCTATTGCTGGAACCCACCACCAGAAACAAATGGATGTGTCCCCAGTGCAACCTCCTCCGTTTGGAACAACCACCAGAACTGTTTCTGCTTGGCACTGGGCTTCCATCTAAGCCTTCCTCACCGCGTCGTCCTTCAAAGTTCGTCCTTCCACCCCCGTGGGCCGCTCGGGCCACATCAAAGCAGCGAACCCTTCGCCACCTCTTCCGTCGCGCCGCGCCCGAAATGCCTTTGAAGCTCTTCAGAGCTTTGACCCTCGAGGTTGAAATAGCATCAGGAATTCTATTGTTTTAACCCTCTGCCAGGACCTTCCAAACAGGTGGCTTTTGGGCACTGTCCAGGGGTCTCTAAGAGGCTATGTATAAGACACCTCTTGCACGGTGGTGGTTGCTTCTCGTCCTGTCCGACCCCCACGACGGGGGTCACGCACCTGACGGAGGCCACGCGCGGCAGCGCCACGTGGGCCCCTGGCGCGGTTGGGGTGTTCAATGGCCTCCAACCTATGGCCGCGATGGCCTCCACCCTATGGCCGCGATGGCCAATGCTTTTCATGTGTGAAAACGGACGTTTTGTGGTGCACTTTGGGAGATTGAAACCGTGTCCAAGGAGGCTTAGAGACTAGACGGTGCCCATTTTAAGGAATGTGATCGCCACCAAGCCCAACATATACATTCCTTGCCTCTGTAAAATGGGAAGTGGCGTGAAAACCACCTGTGTTGGTCTTCAGATTGAACATGGTCATCCGAGTCTTCCGAGCCATGCCATCCACTTCCATCCACTTAATCCTTCTCTCCCTGTGCTCTCGAATGAACACTCGCCTGGAAGCCGTAGAGCGGCGCCACCCACCTGAGTGAGAGGCCACGTTCAACACGGGAACTCAGGTGAGGGAGCTCTCAGGAGATGATCCTGATCTGATCCTCTGACAGTCTTGGAATCGTCGGAATCATCGAAATGAGGATGCCAGTTTGGACCCGTTTGGAACCATCCATCAAGTGTCAAAAGAAGCTTTCTATAGAAACCACACAGGTGAATGTATATACTTTAGCCTTACCCTACAGTCCTACAGTAGAAGTCCAAGTGTGAGGTCAAGACGATCTTGCTTGCACCACCGAAGTGTTCAGGACATTCCCCAACTCGGGGAGCCCCACTTTCGTCAGATTTCCCAAGGCCAGCTGTGCCGCCCGCGGCGCCGGTTTCATCGATGAAGAAGACCGAGCGGAAGAAAGCTGCGTCCGCCCCGGATCCCAGTGACCATTGCAAAAAAGGAATCAGGTCTTCCTTCGGCCGGTGCTTTTGAACTGGAACCATGTCGTGGTCGGACTTGGATCCACCAGATGCCCGGAGCCCGTCATGGCACCCGGAGCCCCGTTTCACTCACTCCTGCGAAGCTTGACCATGTCAAAACCTGGCTGGGAATCAGTCCCACATCAGTCCCCCGGTCATCCGCCACGCCGGTCCCGGCGCGGAACACCGTTCTCTGAGCCGCCGGGCTGGCCAGTCCCCCCAGCAGAGCACCTGCGGGTACAGACACTCGTCGGGCCCAGTGGATGATGGAGCCAACTCGCCAGCCGTTCTCCATCCAGCCCATGGTCTGAAATCTCAAATCGACTTCGAACGTTGACCTGGAACCGGCTCTTTCAAGGCGTCCTTAGGACAGATTCAAGTTAGATCGAACGTTGTTTCGATTCAAGATGATTTGAGTCGATTCGGAAAAGTCTGTGAAACTTCAGATCATGATACCACCTGCGACATGTTTCAGCCACCAATTTACGGCGACCGGCGACCGGCGACCGGTCCTGGTATGCATGGAGCCAACATGGTCCTATATATTTACATGATCTTACATGATCGTATACATGGTACCTCGCTCTCATCATCTTGCATCAAGCTGGCTGGAGGGAGAATCGGAGGAAACACACAGATCTTGCCAGCTGGATCTCTCTGAGCTGCACCTGCCAGAGCTGCCGAGGACGAAGAGCCCATTTCAGCCCTCCTGGCACGGGGACCAAGTGAATTTTCCCTGACCATCCATGGGATCTGGCATCTTTACCTATGGGGTGGTGAAAAATGGGTGAATGTACCAGGAGTTTCAAAGGTGATTCACTCCCCCGACGTCACAGGATCTGTTCCCAGTGTACGTAGACTGCCCGATCGGCCAGAAAGATCTCGGTGGATCTTCGTGAACTACAGTCCGAACAGAATCGATGGCGGTTTTTCGAGTAACGGCAAAGGAGATGGCTCATGGCAAACACTTAAGCCATGTGTTCCTGGATCTTCGGAGTATGTAAAAGTTCTATAAAGTTCTAACCTTCCGGACAATGTCTGCAGTTGGATCATTTTCAGATGGTCTTCACGAGCTAGACACGCCAGTTCCTCGAGCCTGTTCGGACACCGCGTCTCCGAACCCCCTGGGAACGTCTCTCTTTTGGGCGACGCGGTCTTCGTGTCGTGCCGGACGCGCCCAGTTACTGGGTGTCTCCACGGCCATCGGTCATGTGGGTCGTTCAACTGGTCGATTTCAGCATGCTCCTTCGCCTCCAGGGCCCTAAGGCCATCCATTGCCATCAGGTCTCAGAAATGGTTCCCCAAGAATTCACTGAACATCTCCGATGTTGAGGCACGGGATGCTTTCAGAAACTGCACCGAAAGCTTTGTTCTCCCTTCTCCAAGACGCCCGGAATCCTCCGGGCAGGGGGCCGAGGGATGCCAAACCGAAGCCAAGCATCGAGCCTCACACTCCACGTGGGGAGCTCTACAAGATCTAAAAGTCACTAGAGGAGCTGTTAGGATGCACCCAACACTGCTCTCAGCCCGAAAACTCACAAAAAAATTAAGCAAATGTACGGTACAGCACGTATTCGCACCAAACAAGCACATGGCACACCCCGTCATTCGAGAAAAAGGGTTGGCGAAAGAATCATTGGAAACGACACGCTTTCGGAAACGGCGATGTTTCGAAACAGCTTTCGGGAACTGGCCGCAGCTCACAGCACGTCCACCACATGACAGCTCCAGGGCGTCCGATGCTCCTCGGGCGGAGAAGTGGCCAGAGAGATTGAAAGTCCGACTGAAGTGGCCATTGCTTCTGTAGGTTGGAGGAAATGATCATTAAGTCCTTCCAGATCGTGAAAAATGATGATAAGTTTGCTTCTAGGTTGGAGGCCATTGCTTCTAGGCCATCGCTTCTATAGGTTGGAGGCCATCACTACCAGGTTGGAGGCCATCGCATAAATGGTTTTGTACAATGCAGGTGATGACTACAATCAGTTCATGTTCTACTTCCACAGCGACGTCATGTTCTACATGGGCAAGGAAGCTACCAAGCCTTGATGTAGCTAATTAGCATTTTAGTATCCCTGGATTTTCCCAAGTGACCGAACCTGCTCCCCTGGTTTCAGATCATTATATTCTATGGGCTTCTATTTTACGTCAACTAAAAAGGGACTCCGAATTTGGTCACTGGGAAGGTCCTGTGCAATTGACATGGCGCCCATCAACGTATTTAGTAGGTGATAGTGAAAGAAGGGCCCCCCTTAAGCTGTTTTGCAGTATCTTCGGGGTTTGCCTTTGCTTTTTCATGAAAATCCCCGGTTCCGGTGGCGTCCGAAACGACGCGTGGCTCGCCACGGACTGTCCCGTCCCGATGCAGCAGGAGCAACCACAAGGAGCATATATATATATATATATATGAGGATGTACTTCTCTGAACGGGGTGAATAGAATATGGAAATACAAGATCTGTGCACAAGTTCCTGGTAAAGAAATAAAAACAGTCCGGCCATCTACTGAATTTACTGTCTTCATGTTTCTTTGTGTAAGTCCCCATCGCCCAAACGGAATCGACAGCTTCTTCCCAATCGCGCCCACAAACGGTGAAATAAAACCGCGCCGAGACAGGCTTTTTCAACACCCAGAGATTGGTGAGAAACCCAAAACCCTAAATATCCAAAGTAACTTCTCAGGTACGGTGATGTGTTCGACACTCTCATGTCGGTTTTGTAGGGAAAGACCCCTTTAAAGGATTCGGGTCTGAACGTCTCCAGAGGTCTCCATCAAACGGAGCAGACTGGCCACGTAGCTTGGCAGTCATGGGAGGGAAACCCGATTAGGTTAGCAGCAACCAGCAGCTATGAATCATGAAGCATCATGAAGCCATACCGGTTGCTTCCGAAATCGGGGTCTGGCTGGACAAGCCTCGCCTCAAAAGATCCATTGGACACTCATTGGAAGTCCGATGGGGCCAACAAACATGATCTTCCCTAGCAGCTATGGTGTTTATGGCTTTAAACCCATTGAACACCTCATGGACTTCATGGAGTTCCGCTTTCTGCTCCATCCGCCCAAACGGTTTGGCACCGTCCCCAGCGAACGCACTGTCTTCCGACCCGCACCAACCCACGACCCACCGGACGCCGCGGAGAGCGGCTGGCGGATCCAAAGGGTTCACCTCTCCAGGCGCACAGCCTGACGGCGCCCGGACGTCCGTTCCGAGGCGCTTCGGTGAAGAGCCCCACGGGGCTCTGGAGGCCGAGGCGCCCGGGTGCAGGGGCGAGAGGCGACATGAAGCGACATGAAGCTAGTAACCAGGTGCATCGCAACGAAGCTAGGACGCTACTTCACAAGGGCACTAAAACAAAGACTGCTAGTAGACCCAGCAACCGACCTTTATTTATAGGTAGAGTCGCAAGTGTCGATACAGGTTGGAAATATGAAACATAGTGAAAAATTACATTGTCAGCTTCTGCATATGAGTGACCTAGCGTGGGTTGGAATCTAGATTCTCGTCTGACCACAAGAAGAAACTCTTTAGACAAGGGCCTGTCCAGGATGAAAAAAAAAAAGATGAAAGTAGAGTAAAACTCCACATCATCCAACCGATAGTGCCAACCACCAGGCCATCAGTGCCAAGCCACTCGAGCGGCAACCAGCCCATGTGGAGTCCTTCCTTGGAGGGGTGGTGAGACATGGGATGCCATCCGTGTGTCTATCCATCCGATTCCATCTACCTGGGTTCTGAAGTACTGGGTAGAACCACGGTGACCGGTGCACCAAGAATGGCATGGTCGTCTTTCTCGGATCTCGAAAGACACTCTTTTCCTTTTGAATTTTCCCAGACACTCCATGTATATCACATACATGCCTCCGTTGGTGTGTGGTTGAAGAGGGGTCAATGGGGCGGCAGATATTCCAGTTCCATGAGCCGTGTCTGAGTTTCGAAGCCAGTCACCTTGGAAGGAGAAGAGGGAGCCCGGGATCTGGAGATGTCTTCTCTTCTACGAGACTCTAGGTATGTCCACGATGGTCTTGTCATTTCGCTTCATCAAGGGGGTCTCGTGGGGATGTCAACGGAAACACGGAAGAGATGCTCAACGAATTCCAAATAAATTCTACCCCACAGCAGGGAATGAAGAGTCGTCCGACATTCGCAAGACGACATTCGCTCTACGGTCAATCATATACCCTGCCGTTTGAACAATTTGGGCCTGGCTAGACACTTGAAATACACGGTGAGAACAGGTGTTTCATACCGGGGCTCTGGTCGGGCCACCATATATACAAAAGGCGCTACCGTACACTCTCTTGTTTAAAATATATATAATGAAATAAACACTACTTTACTTTGAGTAGTAGTCCCCACCATGGCGTATACACTGGCATTCTATCTGGCATATATTTTAGCATATTTTCTGACATTCTTTCTGGATCTTTCTGGCATGTAGCCGGACAATCTTTTTGGCATGCGTTCCGACATTCTATCTGGAATTCTATCGGTGACATATTTTGGCTTTTTATCTCGAGATATATGTTCTGACCATCTTTCTGGCAATCTATTTGGCATCTCTTCTGGCATAAATTCTGACAATCTTTCTGGCAATCTATTTGGCATCTCTTCTGGCGTTCTGCATGTTCTTTCTGGGATTCTATCCGGTGGAGCTCACAGAGGTGATGGAGTGGGAGAGGAGAGAAGGAGAGGAGGAGAAGGTGACGAAGGTGACAGGTCTGGAATGGTCTGGATAATAAGGTGACACCACCCTCACCTGGCAGGTGGGGAACAAATAAGAAAACAAATAAGAACACCAAGCGTCTCGTAACAGGTATAGGCTGCATCTTCACAGCAACCTGTAGAGCGGCAGTCTTCTGTGGAGCTGCTGCAGCGCAGAACCTCACAGCTCCAGGGCGTCTGGTGTTCCTCAGTTGTTGGTTGCGCGTTTCTCAGTTGTTGTTGGGGTCCAATCTGGTTTTTGTTTGCTTCGAGTTGTCTATTGGCTGGCTCAAACATGCCATCCAAACCCACGCAAAGGGGATTTCCTCGAGGTCTTCATCGTCAAGAGCGACAAAGCGTGGATGTCAAGACTATTGTTTGGAAAACTTGCTGTTGGGAACGGGAAGATCACATTTCTCGTCGTGGAGTTTTGAGCGGGCAAAAGTCAGCAGCAGCCAATTCACTTCCAGTTGCTTCCAAAATCGGGGGCTTCTGAAATCGGGGTGACCCGGCTAGACAACCCTGCCTCACGTATAAGTTCCCATTGAATACCACTTGGAAGCGCAAAAAAAGGGGGCTATATGTCTCCAACTGTGACAACTGGGATCTTTTTCAGGGTGATTCCATCACCATCCATCACCCAAGAACCAGTGCAACCAGAATGCCAACTCCAACGAAAAAGAGACTCAAAGGAAGTATACGTCAATGCCCCGCTTCAAACAGCACCACTTCAATGACTCTATCCCAAAAATAAAGCAATTGTGCTGTTGACCAGAACCCAATCGTCTCCAAAAAAACACGCTTGGAAGGTGGTACCATCGTCTCCATCCATGGGCGAACGAACATACCACGTCCTATCTGGCATCCGTTCACCAGCGCGACCGAACCGGCGCTGTCTGGCATGGCATGGACCAGGGGAAAAAGAAACAAACGGGTCTCTGAAGATCCAGGTCAAATCCATCACCGAAGGAAGGATCACTGATTAATCAGTCACCTGGTGTTGCCACTTCTTGAACTCTTTTAGTTCACTTTGTTCACCCCCCAAAAGTAGCTGCCAGGTTGGTGAGATGCTTCACACGTAGTTCCGTCACAGCGACGACGCACGCAGCCGCACGCATCCACCGCTTCCACTCACTCCCGTGCGACCCGGTCCCCCGTCGACACCACGACCGGCCGGATCGAGGTGTGAGACATGAACTGGGACCCTGGACGTACTACATGGATGGGCGAGTTACGGCTCTGAAAAAAGACCATCCCCAATTCCAGCATACCTCGACACCCGGATGCTCCTGGTTGACCAGGGCGTAGCGGCCAGGGCTCTGGCGGCTCGTTCGGATGGATGCCGGGAGTGCAGCTCTCCCTGCAGCCGGCCCAATACTGATCCTTCTCGTAGCACGTGTAGCCCGGATCCTGCGACCCAGAGGCCGAGGCAGGGGTGAAGAGTTCAGGGGTGATCCAGAGGCATTAGTAGTAGTGCCAAGAGCTACTACTTAGTAGCTTTTTGCTCCGTTCGTGGCGATGCCCTTGTTACTAGTAGCTATTTTGCTCCTGGTAGTAATGCCAGGAGCTAATCCCTTCATTGCATCCTTGATAAACAACCTCCTGAGGAAATTGATGCATGTAGACATGAATCGCAGATCATCGGCTTGGTGTTTGCTTTGATTGAACATACTCTTCTGGCGTATTTCCGTCAAAAAAGATATCCTCATGGGCTGAATCCGCCCTGGGGTCTCAAAAGGTCTGCAAATCTGCAGTGAGCCGTCTGCAAACGGCTCAAAAGAAGCGTCTGGAAGATACTCTGGAAGATGTTGTCCATGAATTACTGCGTGTTCGTTAAACCTCTGAGAGGTCTCCTTCCAAAACCATCTTCTGGGCAACACATACCTGCTCGATCGCACACATGTCATGCCAACGATAGATCAAATGAAAAACCAAGGTGGACTGAATTGGAACATAGACATGAACCTATCAACGATTCGATGTGGATGTTGAGTGGGAGAAAAACGACGAAACGAAAAAAAAAAAAACATCCGGGCCTCCACGGAGCTCTTCCAATCCTTTCTGGATAAATGTTCCACCTTTCATTAGGATGATGATGGCGCCTGGTTGCAGGCCTTTGCATCTCAAAAATGGTGATCACGTCTGTATCGACTGTGATCACGGTTTACTGGATGTACCTCGCAAGATGTACCTCGCAGGTCTAAGAAACCTAGGACCCCTTGGGAGTGAATGTCTCTTGATTCTGGCAAGAAATCTGCACGTCGATTCTTCAAAAAAAAAAATGTTTGCACCGTTGTTGATCCTCACCGACCGCCTTTCATCGGACCCAAGCCGAGAAAAACCACCATCGATTTCCACAGGGTTAGATGCCCACTCTCCCGACTCGTCCCATCCTGGCAGCAACGCGTGGATCTGCAGTCTTCGGTGGGCGTGGAACACCGACCTGGGCTGGGACGCTTGGAGCCGATCCTCCCGACCGATGGTCCAAGCCCACAGAAACTCTGGATTCCCATCGATTGAAAAGAACTGACATGAAAATCGTGTTCACAAAGCCAGCTCGGAGCAATACGGTATAATGGTCCGGAAAAAATCCCTAAAAATGCCTTCCGAAATGGTTGAAACGGCTTAAAAGACATCAGTACTACTAACTATGTTTTTTTGACATGGCTTGGTGGTTTTGGAACTTTTGAAAAAAAAAAAACAAATGAACAACTCCTGAAGAAAACAACACATCACCTCACCAGCCCCCGAGATGTTGTGAAAAACATGAGCCTCTGCGCTAAGATGTGTGTATCACTTTAGCTATAAAGGACCAGCTGAGAAGAAAAGCCAACAAAGCTATCTACCTAGCACTTCCAACGGGTGCCCTGTCTGGAGACCTATAAGTATAGGGTAGGGTAGCCAGGACACCCAGACAGGATGATCCCGGTAGGAGATGTCAAGAGACTTGGCGTCGGTGTGGGCGCTGGTGTTGGTGGCGGCGATGGTGCAGGCGGATCGCCATACAGACCAGCCATTGAGGCAGACCTCCGAAGATCGACCCACTGATCAGCTGCTGACAAGGAGTTCCAAAAAACATCTCAGCCAGAGGGCACTGCCCTGCAATTGGCATGTGTTCCAAACCATCCCCAACTTGCATGGCTGGCCGCTTCGCGATTCCTATTGGGGAGGGCACACATGTTTTTCTGTACCGTGTACCCTGAGAATTGCACCTGAGAACAGAACTCACCTGTGAATTCGAACATTGTATCTTTATTAATGCTTTAATAAACCAGGACACCCGGACCAGGGGTGTCTATTGATAGCCCCTTAGAGGTGATTCGGGGTGTCCATTAACCACCCCTTGTGGGTCCTAGAATGTGCTTTTCGTAGTCAATGACACAAAAATACCATTGACTTTACTTTGAGTGATCCCCACCATGGCATTACCCTCTGGTGAAAGAAATCGAGGATTGAACTCAATAGCTTGAGCTCTGCGATATTCTGCAATCTGGTTCACCATCCGCTGTTGCCACTGCTGCCACCCTCCCCAAACTCCCAAATGGCCCGTCCCCACCGCGCAAAAAAACGGCCCTCGAGGAGGGGTTGGTCGGCGACCGGGGTCGGGCGCGCGGGATGTATACAAACCAACCTGCATCCATGGTGATTTCGGTGGGTGTTCGTTGGGGCGCCTGAGGAAGTCGCCGTTCAAGGTAAAGGTGCTGATCGCCACCCAGCTACCGGAGTAGTAGCCCGAAGAGAAGCCCTCGGAGCGGGTTTGCACCACCCAGAGCGAACCCGCCGGGGGTTCACCGGTCGAGGTTGAGGTCTTGAGGGTTTCAGGTCTGCTGGACCCGAATCCGGACTCGGTTGGGATCAGACCATGCTTTGCAGAGGGTCGAACTTGGGTGGAACCGATTGGTTTTCGACCGAGAAAGGGCGGCTTTGGGTTTTCACGGAGCGTTTGGGTAGGTCATGTGCACGGTAAATAAGTCCGGTTTGGAAAGTATCTCTTTTGCACGACGAGCTCGCCTGCGTTCCAGGTATATACCGTTGTGGAGGTACCAATTCAGAGCGTCTCCATGTTGATCATCTGAGACCACAAAGAAGTTGACAATACACTGTGGATACGGAAGCCACAGTATGCCCAGGTTGTGAGGATTGAATAGCAATTCCTTGTTGGGAGTAATGGAGTCTAAGACTATAGAAAAAATGGTCCCAATTTATGTCATGAAAAGGACATGCCTTTACTTCAGTGAAGCCAAATACAGTCTTTGGACTCCTAGGGTCCTAGGAAATTCGGACCTTTAGGAAAGAATGGAAAAGAATCTGAGACACCTCTCATGGCTTGGCGCTAAGGCACACCTTTGGCCACCCGTGCGCCACCCGCATTGATCAGCTCCTGCTGCCGCTTGATGCTCACCCCATCATTCTGCGCCGGAACGACCAAGGAGGAGAAGGTGGGCCCCGCAATGAACATGTTCCAGGACCAATCCGGGTGCACGCCTTAGTCACCCAGTCGCGGGACTGTCCGGCTTAAGTGAATGAGGCCCATGAGGCTGGTCTGGGCTCTTTTCGGTCTCGTGATGTCGGCTGCTTGGCACTTAGCGCCTTCCGGGGGCCTCCCTTCCCCGGTCTCCGGTCCCCTCTCGGTCCTTTTCGACGCTTCCTTCGCACCCGGACCGCTGGATGCGGGGGGGTGTCGACCGAGGGACTGGTCACGAGGCAGGCGTCGTCGATCCGGAGCTCGCTGGCCCAGTCGCAATGGGATTCCTCCGGCGGCTGAGGGGCGAGACAGGGCGTCGACGCGCGAGAGGGGCGAGGCGAGACGGCGAGCGAGCGAGGCACCGGGACCGGTGCGGCCGGTGGAAGGAATGCGAAACCACGGATCCCTGGAAATTCTCCGGGGTGAATGTTAGGTATACAGTATACACTCAGCATTGTTCAGCGACCAGGACATCTTCCCGAACAGGTCGTTTGGTCTCCAGCAAACGCATAGGTCCAGAGGGTCCAGAGAGAGAGAGAGAAGCCAAAAGGCTCAGGCTCAAGTCAGGCACGCGAGTCTTTTTTGGGGTACTAACATGCCTTCGTAACACCGGGAGACGTTTCAGGTGGAAGATCTGGATCCGATCAATCCCTTTCGGTCAGATCCAGCGACCAGGTCTTTGGATCGGTCAGAAACCACCCCTACCGCGACGTCATGTTTGGACGACCACGCATTTGGGATCGCCGCGGCGAAAACGAGGTCGACTTCTTGAAAGCAGCTGAAGCTGAAAGGGACCTGTCCGTCCGGAAGGGAGCCCTAAATCCAAGCTGTTCCAATCAGAACTTGAGACCGGGGCTCGATGGCCGGCCCTCTCTTGCGAAACAGCAGCGATACCGCGCTGATTCCCTCGAACAGCATCCAGAAGGATCATAGCTTGAGGTTTGCTCATGTCAAAGCTATATATAGCTATTGCTATAGCTAGTCCGCTTCGAAGGACTGTACTTCACCACCGACCGTGCCAGTGGCTCCACCGTGGGACTCGTTCTCCTCTGCTCCCTTTTTCGACGGAATCAGCTCCTTGCTCTCCAACATGACGACCAGTGGATCCAAGTACCTCGATCGCCCCAGGTCGGTTCGACCCGACTCGTCTCCTCAAACGACCAGTGGTCACCGTGGTCACCTATATATGGTCAGGTGCACCTATAGTCCCATCGCCCGAAGTGTGTGGAATTCCTAGTCAAACCATTCCGGGCCCCTCATATCGAGATCTCTTCTAAAGGTTTTGTTCGTTCAAAGTCCACCAGGGCCCCCGGGTTTCGGGGTGTCCAATCATAGCTCCGTCAGAGGTGATTCGGAGGTCCATTAAGCACCCCGGGCCTGGTAGGGGGGCCCTGGTACATATTAGTCATGACTCTTCAGTGACTAGAGGAGTTCCAATCATGATCCAGCCTGATTCATGCGATGAATCTGTCCAACGTGCAACCGGAAAAAAAGAACAGGCCCCGAAACGCACAAACCAGGGCCCGAGACCCCAGTGATTCCAATCAATAAAAACTCACTGACTGACCCAACAAGACTCACCCCACAAGACCCATCATCCCCTTCCTAGCTCATTCCTGGCTGTCTCTGGAACTCTCAACCAGCAACAGCAATATCCAGCTCATACTCCAGCTCACCCTATCCTTCCGACTCCTCGTTCCTCTTTCCTCTCACCTCAAGGACTCCCCCAAAGAAATACTGTCTCGCACGCATCACGAACGCTTCCGGCAGCTGGGCACTGGGTAGCATTGTGCATGGCCTCCTTGGGATACAGCAGGTAGTCCAGCGCCACACGCCAAGTCGTTCGGCTCGCCTGCGTTCGGCACGAGAAGTGGCGTGGGGGCGGCTCGGGCGGGTGGGGCGTCAGCGGCTCTGGTAGCATTTCTATAGGTATCCAAGTACCTTCTCAGAAGGTGATTGCAGACACTCTCGTGTAGGTTTGGAGGGTCCAGTCGTACCTTCTGAGAAGGTACGACTGGATCCCTAGGGCATGAAGCGGAATGTGCGTAGTTGGAACAGGTGAGCTGGGAGCGGTTTTGTAAGCAATTGTTGCAAGCCACAAACGGAAACTCACGGTGAACTCAGCTGTTCTTCGTTTTCTTCCCCCCGATGGCCTTTAGCGACGAGCTAAACCTGACCAACGACCGTCCTGCGTGATGAAAACTCGTTCAGTCTAGCAGAACCCATAAGTGAGTCCTTCGCCGAGGTGGACTCGGCGGAGGTGAGGTCCGAAATGGGAAGTCTGGCGGAGAAGAAGATGGGGCGGTGAGGAATGTGAATCCAGGCCAGGAGAGTCCAGTCATACCTTTTGAGGAGGTAACCTCCTGGAGCCCTAGGGACATACATGTCGGTGCCCAAAGATCCGGGACCCTAAAGGTGTGAACATCCACTTCAGATTCGATTGAAAGCTCCCTGAAATGGTGATGGATGGCATGGGCTCTGAAAAAGAGCAGCTTTCTTCACAAACAGGTGGTGCACTCTGAATGCCCTGGAGAGTAGATCATCACTAATTGATATTATTTATTAATTAGACTTAATTTAGACTTGTGGGATTCCGGGGCCCTCTGGAGGATGACGCTTAGTAGAGTCTTGGCTGCTAAACCACAGGTGCTAAGTTGACCATGTTTACTGTTGGAACGCCCAAGTAACTACACCGTAATTATGTAATTAGATGAATCTCAAAGTGTTCTAAACACACTTGATGTGATGTAGTGGAATATAGTATATTGACCTTTCATGCACAACCGTTGTTTTACATTGTTTTACTGCTATGTAGTTTACCATTTTTACAAACTGGTCAACCGAACATAACCGAACTCTCTTTATGGTCTGTGAAGGCTAGTGGAAACCAGGATGTGGGCGTTCGCAGCATGCTTCTAAGGTTCTTTTTTACATGATATTCGTCCATACCACACAAACCTCCGGCCGGATGGGGAGGATGTGTTTGATCTCGAATCACTCCATGCAAACCTATCTCTATGATTCTCTATCGATGTCCGAGTGCCCCAAAAAGAGCCCCATGTGTGGGGACTTGCCGACAAACTTGTAGGACATTGTAGAATGAAATGCTCCACCTCCCTGCATGTTTGCTTCTTGAACTACGGCTACCCTGACCGTTCGCTACACTCATGTCCCGCCCCTTAGGCCCCACGGCCCTTACGCCCCGCCTCCGAGCCATACTGCGCGCCCGGCGTGCCGCTGCCGGTGAAGTTGGCGTCGGCGCGAAAGGGCCCGACGCCGTCGGCGCTCTCCCACACGCGCGCCCAGTTGGTGATGAGGCCTGGATTTTGAGGTGATCGGTGAACATGAAGGAGACTGGGGTTTCATACCAATCGAAACGACGTGTTAACTGTGTTTATGTGTGTTCTTTGTGTTTATTCCGGGTGATTCATGTGTTAACTACCTTTTGTGTTTTTTTGTGCTTTTTGTGTTTAGTATATGTACAGGTGTCTGGGTATGTTCTCTGTGCTACCTGGATGGAGTTGGTCGTTTGGGGCAGTTTGCTGCAGGAGTTTGCTACACGTGGTGTCTATAGGCTCGATGGAGAGCTTTCTGTGGGTTGATGGTGTGTTCCATCGGTTCTCATTCTTGGCTGGTTGGGTTCTTGGGTGGGTTGTGTACATTTCCGTGCTGATCGGGTTGATGGTTCCCGAAAAATCACAGCGACACATCTAAGACTTGGCAGCTGGAATCCAACCCGCGGCTTCGATGATTCATCTCGCGGAGAAAAATATGGACTCACATCATGCATGTGCTGCAATAGTTTCTCACCAGAAGTCAGAGCTTCCTCTAAAGTCTTTTTGCTATGAAGGGTCCCCTGCGCTTGACTACAACTTCCAAGATACGTATAACTTACAATATTCCTTCCCTCCTTCCTTCCTTCCTTCCTTCCCTCCCTCCCTCCCTCCTTCCTTCCTTCCTTCCTTCAATCCCATCCCATCCCATCCCATCCTTTTTGGAATCCCTGACTGATGGCTCCAAGATCTCCAACATTCCTCTAAGAATCTAAGCCTTTGTTTCTCTTCATCTACATACATGTCCAAACCAGAACCCTAGCGGCCCTAGGCCCCCCTTGGCACTCGCTGCTTTGGGTAGTCCTGAGTCCGCTTCAACCAACCGTCCGGGTCCCACCAACTGCGTGGCTTCGCCGCGCAAATCACACCCCCCCCTTCCGACCCGGCTGCTTACTGTGGTGTCAACGAAAACGAAACAAATGAGTCTGTCAGCGGGCCTGATCATCCTCACTTCAATGAATGTCTATACAGATAATGAAACATCAGAAACCCGCCACTCGGCGATGGACTTTTCGGAAGATACCAGATACCAAAACTTCTGCAGGCCCACTCAACATGACGAGTGATGGAAGAGCCGAGCCGAGGCGCCGTTGCTGTGACACTGCACGGCGTCGAACATCTTGTAGCTCGTGGAGATCACCTCTTCGCGGAGACGCGAAGAGACGAGTCTGACTGGAGGACACCGGAGACGACACCAGGACCCTCCAGGACAAGGCCAAGGCTTCGGGAGAAGTGTGACCGGAAGGCGTTCGCAGGCTTGTGAACACTGGAGAAGTGTGACCAGAAGGAATGACGTGACTGGGGGGGTCTCTGCTGCGACAGGCTGCGACAGTCTCTGAGACGATTCTACAGATCTGCAGAATCCAGCGGTGATAGTACGCTACTGGAGAGTCCGAAAACTCCTCTGTCTCACAGAGGAACCAGTGGTTCCGTTCCATGGATGGCTTGGGATGAACCTCCAAATACCGGTTTGAAAGAAGTGCCGTCGTTGAGACATCTTGCCGGATCAGATGTTGCTGTTGTACCAGCGCCCGAAACCTACGTGACCACCTGACACTTGTTTTGTCCCCATTTCATCCACCAAAACTCGGAAATTGACCTGTAGAGTGGGATGCTGCTAGGGAACTGCTTGTTCAACATCCACATTGCGCACCTCGTGCGTGCGAGGTGGAGTTTCACTGATTCCAACTGGTCCAAAACCCCAGGTCATCGCAGGGGTCTGAAATGACTCCAGAGCTCCCAAAGGTGTAGAACATAGAAGCCAACGTAGGACATCAAAGGACTAGGCTTCCAAAGTCTTTCATGGACCGGCTTCCAACCACCCGTTAAGGTTCAATGCTTTGTACCGAACCACCATTGTTTTACTAAGGATTTTATACATACTAAGACAAGGTCCAGCATCTTTTTCTGGAATGGACTTCCAGGGGAGGAAAACAAAAGAAAAAAAAACGTCTGCCTCGTCCTGCCACGTCTTCCCGTGTCTTTCCTCACGTTCTCGACTACGTTTTCCTCACGTGTCGGTCACTCCGTCTGGGCGCGCGGCACGGTCGCGCTGCTCCGTCCGATGTCGGCGCGGTCTCGCCTTGTTCCACTTGGAGACGTAGGAAGCTCCTTCTGCATCGCTACTTCCGATGCCCTGTGTCATGAAGTCACGGCAGAGGCGATAAGCACCTGGGGAGTGATAGCCTGGGACGGAGCAGATGGATGGATGTTCTCCACAGCGATGGATCGTTCTACACCTTGATATAATGGGCTGAATCCCGAATCAACTAAGGATTTTACATGATTTTACACTACAAAAACCAGGTCAACCATTTTTTTTATGGTCTTGGAAGTCTAGGGTATAGATGGCTGGTGATGAGTCACTCGGTGCCTTTTCCAGGTGCCTTGGAACCTGGTGTCTTGGAACACGGCATGGAACAGCTGCGACAGCTGCGACAGCTCTCGAAAGAGGAGAGCTGCTTGCGAGTCCCAGCCCTCCGACGCTCTGCATGTAGGATGCGTGGAGGTATGTCTTTTCGTAGAATGAGCTTCTGACGCAGTGCCTATTCGCGGCCCTGGTGAACAAGGGAACCCTTCACTTTCTCAATTTCGAGAGAAAACTTGGAAGGAATGTGACTTATATCTACCTGTGGCCGCCCACTGACTGGCATCATGGAAGGAGGATGCCCTCTTCAGTTTCCTCACCCGGGTCAGAAAATTCCAACCCTGTTGATCTTGGAGAACGTTCACTGCCGTGACGAACACATGTTTTCGTGGATGGCATGGCCCCTTGCAAGAGCACTCTCCTCTACACGCAGGGGGGTGAACTCCACTCCACTCGTGAGCCGAAGAAGGAGGGTCGAAGAGAGAGCTCAACGTTGGAGGGATTCCGGGCCCACCTGGAAGAACTATAGGCTGAATCCCAAAGAACCACTTTGACCGACACTACAATCTAACCAGGCTCCACCCAGTTTTGTTCTATTCCAATCGAACCGGGTCTGGTGAATTGGGAGTCTTCGATCAAGTTGTCCAACTTGTCCTGTGGGGGTCGCCTCTCCTCGCGTCTTGAGGGTCGACCACGGGGGTTGGAAGGTTGCGATGCATCAAGCAGGTCTCTCTCAAGTTGGATCCAAGTACTTTATTCAAAAAATCGTCGCAATCCAAGTACATCTCACTTAGTTTCCAACCCTTTAAGCCCCCCAAAGACCCTCCAGGTCAACCCCCCTTTGTTGGGGAGGGCGGCGAAGGCCTCACAGGTTTTCCGCCGAGCAGCTGGGGTTCTGTCCATCGTCTCCCCAACCTCCCCAGCAAGCGCCCAGCTTCACAATGCGGTTCTTCCCCGAAGACGAGGCGATTGTCTCCTGACCGAGAGAGCGAGAGCCCTGGTCTAGTTCGTGGAGGCGATGATGGAGGGGTTTCCATGCGCGGGGCTCCCTTTAGGCAGGCAGAAAGGGAGGTTGATGTTGGAGAGGAGAGATGCTGGGGGTGTTCTAAATGCCAAAGAGGGCTTGAATTCAGCTCTCGGAATTCAGTTTGTCCGGATCCAGTGATTGACGAACAAGATGCCTCTGAGTCAAAGTCGAAGCTCATTCCCTGTCTAGTAACGCATTACTACGTAGTCCATTTGCTGTGCAGGGATTTTTCGCAGGCCACAAACCAGGATGCAAATACACCCACACTCACGTTTTCCAAGAACCCCTTGAAACTCGGCATAACTCGGACTCTTTCCCTTGAAGGGCCACCCCAGACTCGACCCGTGGGAACTGTCCAGCTTCAGAAGGGTGTGACGCGTAAGTGTTTTGGAAGGGTCTGTTCTGATGGGCCCACCAATTGATTGCCGAACAACCATTTGCACTACAAAGGAATATCAAGGATCATACAAAACCAGGTCCCTTCGAAGATCCTTCGGTGGAGGGCCTTGATGGTTTGGGTCTTCCGTTTTAGGGACCTTCCTGGTGAGTTCCCCCACCACGACCACGCTGCTCGTTCGTCCGGGACTCGCTCAGGAAGAATTGCTTGCAGGTGTTGTAGGTCCAAGTCCCCACCTTCAGGTGTTGCACATCACATCACATCCGGAGACAGGTGAAGGCGGGCGGGTGGAAGGCATCCGGACAGGGACAGGGAGATCGGCCAAAGGCGGAGGACCGCAAACAACGGTTTGTGGCGGAAGCAGGCAGGCGTGAAACAGAACGGCAACCAACGGCTTGCGCCGCCCCCAAAACGCGGAGCGTGTTCCGAAGCTTTCGAACCGCATGGTCCGGAAATCCGAGCAGAAAGCAGAGCGTCCGTTCTCTGCGAAGGAATTGGGTCCAGACTTCTGTTGGTGAAAGCGGGCCCTCTGAGTCTGGGGGGTCTGACCCTTCTGCAGGTCTTTGCTCCGTGGTAGGCCGGAGTGGGCAGAGCTGAGACGAGCAGACGCCAGAACAAGAATCCAGCGCCCCCATACCAGGCCCGGGGTGGTCAGTGGACATCCCGAATCACCTCTAAGGAGCTATAATTGGACACCCCGAAACGCGGGCCCTGGTAGAGGAGGTTTTCTTTTTAGACACCCCGATGCATCGTTTGGCGGGATGGGGTTGCTCAAGGCTCGCATGGCCCGTCAGCACTCGTCGTTGAGTCGAAACACGACATGAAACACGCACCTGGACCCTCCAAGGGGTGCCCAATGGAAGCCTATAAGGTAGTGTGGGGTAGTCCATTGGACACCCCTTAGAGGGGTCCTGGCAGTGAAGCTTGTCACTTGTAAAGCTATCCCAGACACGACCAGTCTGGGGGGTGGTTGTGCGCTTGGAAGGTCTGTCTGGGACTGGCAATCCGACATGGCAGTCCCAGACAGGTCGTGTCTGGGTATGGATTAATTCAGCACCTTCATTGGATCACCTGGATGGTTTCGCCCCAAAACCACTCTCCGGGATCTCCCCTGCATCTCCCGGACACCCCTGGCCCCTACAGGTCCCGGTCCAGGATCAATTCGATCTCTCGACTACCATTGGAACTTTAAGGTTAAGAACAGTAGACATCAGACTCTTGATTAACAAGTGCACCCAGATTGACATGGAAAATCCTCTTCATTATGGGGGGTGTATGATTTATATTTATTCATCAAGAGATAATCTCAAGAGTCTACATTATTTGACGTCTCCTCTCACCTTTCACCCCATGTCTCCCACTCTTCCCCCACCACAACCCAAACCGACGCACCGGCCGGTCGAGAACCGCCTCGGCGAGCCATTCGACGTCGTGCTGCTGCTGCCGTGTGAGTGACAGGACCGCCAAGAGCATCCCAGTCTCAGTGACTCCAATTCGAATCAATTCGACAGATCTTCAAGGCTTCCAATTCCACGGGTGGTGGTGCCGGTTCATGTTGCAGTCTAGAGAGAGAGAGAGAGGAGAGAGAGAGAGAGAGAGAGGAGAACACAAACAAAAAGAAAAGTGGTCCAGAAATCTCGGTGCTCCTGAATTGATGAGACATGTCCCCCCAAAACAGCCCCACGATAGCCGGCGTCCACATCCGCCGAAGGGCCATGGCGTCTTCGTCGCCGTCCGGCGCAGAGCCCTTCCCGAGCACCGTGGTCAGATTGTCGTCGAACTTCCTCGATGCGCGTCCCACGCGACGCGGCACGCGACGCACGTGGGAGGGCGTGATGAAAGTGGAGGCCCGGGGAGCTGAGGATGGCAACTGAGGATGGCAAGCCAGAAGATCCAAAGAAAAGAAAAAACTGTTTTGCAGTGAACAGAGAACCTCCAATACCGTCTACGTGTTTTTTTGGGGGTTCGAGAAATACACCTTTGCCACCGCTGGTCCAGCCCCCAAACATTTGAACTGGGTCGCCAGAGGATTGGCTGAAGAGGTCTAGAAACACCCATGATGACCTGTTGAGGGGCCTTGCATTCGGCTCGGTTTCTCCCCAAACCAGGATACCTTGCTTGGCCGCAGGGTCACGTTTCGTTCCGGGCTGGGGTGCCATAGACATGGCACATCAGAACCTACCTGCAGGACCTCTTATCTTCGAATTCCAAGCGCCAACATCTCCCAGTTGCCCTGTGTTCAATACCTAGACCTCCCAAGCAGGTGGCCTCGACCCCCGAGCGACGGACTGACTTGGGAAATTGTGTAGCTCCAGGTGTCCAATGAGGTAAGCAGGGATTTCCATCGCAAAGGAAGCCCGCGTCTTCCTGGCAGGAGTCTTCCTTCGAATACTCACCTCGCTCGTTGGGCTTCTGCACGGAGGACCCGTGGAACCCGGTCGCAGTTGTGGGGATAGCCATGGGTCGCTGGTCTGGTTCTTGCGGGGATAGCACACGCCCTGTCTTCACCCAGAAACGGAAGGCTTGGAAGGCGACTGGTGGGTGTTCCAGCACCGAAACCGACCTTCTAGGGCGCCCAAACTCGGGGTGTCCACAAAACGTGGTCTTAATTGAAAGAGATTGTGTGGTTCTTCACCACCAGGGGGTGGGCCTCAGAGGGGGTTCCTGGATTCTTGTTCATGCTTCCAGGAGTCCCACATACTTAGTCCGGACTCAAGAATCCAACTGAAAACCCCCAGCTGCGCTCGACTCTGGCCGTGTTTGTTCTTCGGTGTTTGGGCTTTTTCCAAGAGGCACATCCGTCGCCAGCCCAGAAACATCTGATAGAAATACACCTGGGAAGGTGAAGAATCTTAGGCCCTAAGGGATCCAAGTACTACTCAGGTACGGTGATGTGTTCGATACTCTCATGTAGGTTTTGAGGGTCCAGTCGTACTGAACCTGAGGTTCGGTACTCCGCAGAGCCCAAACACTCCATGTGTGGCACGTTTACCTACATTGGGGTGGTATCAGGGGTCAAAAGTAGGCATGTAATATCATACATGAAGAGTTTGGGTAACAATCTCACATCCACAACTGAGTGTGTCCACATGTTTCCAGTATGTTCCACTAACATTCCTGGAACGCTCAAACATCTTCAAACAAAGGCACCTTCATCTGCTCCCAGTCCTCGTCTTCGGGTGTGAGCATGGCCAAGAACGCTCCGGTGAGAAGCACCCCTTAGTACAGCCGAGGTCAGATTCCGGCAACCGGGGTGTTCAGCTTTACATTCTCACCAAAGATCAGTTTCTTTCTTCCCATGTAAGCGACAGTGGCATTTTGCCTATAGGTAAATCCACAACGTTGTTTGATCCTGCCACATGAAGGCCATACTTGGACACCCACATGAAAATTGCCAGGACCATTTTCTGGAAGGTTTCCCAGGATCTAATCTCAGAGATCACAGAGAGGGCGTTGATCCACCAACCCAGCTAGCACGGCAGCCGGGTCCACCACCCTTTTTGGTGCGTCCAGGCATCCATAGCCCTGGCCCTCACTGACCACACCACCGGCAGCGCCACCACTTGAGTGTACGGCCCTGGCATCCGAGCCATTCACGGGTTGATTGGTGAGGCTGTCCTTGGAGCGTTGCTGAGAGTCACTTAGATAACAAGCCTCGGCTTTCGGATGTATTGGGTGGGCGATGCGACTGAAAGCAGTCAGGTGAAGAGGGGCGGCCCCCTTTCCATTGGTGGCCGGCACCCAAGGCATCCCACGAGAGAAACGATTCTGGACCTAGGACAGAATGTGGGAGGAACGGACCTTTGAAGATGTAAAGTGTTGTGAATACCGCTTTGATGAGGAGGGCTATACAACGCTGTTGCTGCGTATCAAATCCACGGCCCTGACCATTGGTCAGATGGAAAGATACGGAAAGTGGACTTGGTGATCTGACATGAAACAATCTTTGATGGGCAAGACCTTTGCCAAACGACTCCATTTCACAAATAGGTACCACCCAAAGGCGGGCAAAAAGTTGACCAACACCCGTGGTACCCCGCTGATTCCCTCATGTGTGTGAAAGGCACCTGGGTTGCAACGTCAGCTTTTAGTACCCATCTGCCACTACCTATACTCTTTGCTGTTGGTAGGAGCGCTCCTGTACAGGTGAAAAACCATAGGTATGTTGCATGTATGTACGCTGGTGTGGCCATCGCTATTAGGTTGGAGGTTGGCGGCCATCGCTCTGAGGTTGGAGGTCATTGCTTCTATATAAATTGTTAAATTAGGATCCAATATGATAAACGCGATCTTCCCTATCGCTGGACCTCCAAGACATCTGGAATCGGCCTGGCCCACCATCGCTTATAATCAGTGTTTTTAGAACCGCTAATCATGGTCTGCACTTGTTGCACTTCATCCATTGGTCTAGCCAGTCGCCTCCTTTCATTTTGAAAAAAAGCATCGAACCGAAGGATCCCGCCTCCCCCCCACACCTTCACTCCCATGCCACGATGAACTCATAGACCCGCTTCCGCCCACTGCCCGCCGATCCGGTCACAAAGACCCGCCCCGGGAAGTGCAGCGGCACCTCGGGGCCTCGGGGCGCGACCGCCGGCGACGCGGGGCAGGTGTTTAGGCGCTGGGGGGTGGAGATGGAGGGTGCTTTGAGGGCTTTGAAGAGTTGATGCGTGCTGCCATAACCCCGAAAGCATCAACGTGACGCATGCACGAAGAAGCGTGGGTTCGGCCTGACTGGGGCCGAAAACGAAGGGGTTCCAGCGAAACTCCTCTCCCCCCAACGGAGGTGGTATACATGTGCTTGTGTGTTTTTTGAATGGATGAATTAGCCGAACACCTGAACAACCATCGTCGTTTCCAATTTACATGATACACTACAAAACCCTAGGCTCTACAAACCCAGTTCTTGAGATGAGTCAACAAGGATAGCCCGGCGAAGGCATCCCAGGTCTCCGAACTTCCCAGGTCGCCGGTGACGACGCATCCACGGAGCATACCGCGCCAGGACCCTCGACCTTCCTTTTCGGCCACCTGGAAATCAGAGGGTCGCCGGATCAAATCATGTTCCCAGACGCTCCGTTCACAGCCCGTCCGGTCCCTCAAATCCTAAAAATTCCAGACCCCTCCAGAGGATTCGGGTCCGACCCCACCAAAGGATTCGGGCCCAGGGTTGAGTCTGGGTTAAACAAAAAAAGATAAACGTTAGCCCTCCGCCTTCAAAATGGGTCTTCGTTTCGCCCTTCAATCTACCATATGTCTTTTTTCCGGGCACCCGGTCCATCTGTATATGATCCCAGAAAAGTATAAATCCATACTTTTACGGGAGCATATCAACATGGCTTGGGCAAAAAAACACCGCGCGGGGGTGAGTTCCCCCGTTCCTTTCAACCCCCCACCATCTGGTCGTTCCGTTCGCTCCGCTCTGTCCGCTTCGTTCACGGACTCGTTGACGAGCTCAGCCACTCGGATCGGGGGGCGTCACCAGCTCACAGCTCCAGGGAGTCCTGAAGTCCTCGGATCGCGACCGAACGAGTCAGACCGCACCGCCTCGCGCGCCTCACGCGCCTCACGCGCTTGGGCGCATCAGACCAACCGGGAGAGTGAGTTTCGTTGGGCCCCTGCCGTCCGTAGAGGCGTGGGCCGGTGAGTTCTAAGAGAGAGACCCCCCAAGCACCCTGAAAGTGTCGGTCTCCCAATTTCAAACAAAACACGCCGAGTGTTCTAGTTCAGGCTCAGCTATGGTTCCAACTACCTCCGTGTTTCACGAAGGTTGCTTAAGGTGTGTTTTGGGGGGTCGAAGTACTGAGGATGTGGGACAGGAGCCATAGAGATACAGTTGGTCCTTTGGCTTTAGTACATTCCCTTGCCGTCTCACAAGACGTTCGCCGGAGCCGGAGAGAAGCCTTTCTCGGTCTTTCAAGGGTTCCGGATGGTTCCACAATAGGGACCCAAGGCAAACCACTAGATAAGGAACCAGGGATTCGGAACCGGTCGAACTGGTTTGGTCGTCGAACTGGAACCACTGGGACTCCCAGCGAGCTCTCGTGGTTTGCCTGCCTGGATGCCCTGGGTAAGAGAAGCAAGAGATGTTCCATGCTTCGATGGCTTCCGGCGACCGACTGAGGCGTGGCCGTGCATCCCGGCCAAAACCGTGCATGGGAGTATACTTCTTGCTTGCTGAAAAGTTCATATTCTGACTCACATTCTCATGGAAGTGGAAAACAAACGAAGATGGAGGAACAGAAGATCCGGCCTCCTCCATGTGAAGAGCCGCACGAAATCCAAAATCAAACTGGGGGGCAAGTCTTTTCGGATTCTCCATAGGTTTCCTCAGCCCGACACAAGGATCACAAGGGTCAGTATGGTCACTTTTGCTGCTCCTCGCTTCATCACTTTCCAAACACCAGCTATTCAGTCTCCTACACCTGCAAAACAAAACATATTAAGCTTATATGGAACATATGGCTGGTTTCCAAAATGTTTTTTCCCAAAATGGTGCACTCATCGCAATACCATGGGGGCCCGCTTCTGAATCTCCTTTAAACTCCAACCACGCTCAAACCACAGGGATGTTAAACACGGAGGCATGTCAACTGCAAAACGTGTGAGAGGTGTCTAGCGCGGACCTTTTCAAGGGCCTGTTGAGCTGCTGGAGCTGCTGGAGCCTTTGCTGCTGCTACTGCTGCTGCTGGACTTCTGCAGCTGTTTCCAAATTGTCGTCTCAAAAGTCTTCAGAACAACATACGAAGGACGTAAGAGCTGACTCAAAGATTTGGAATGATTTGGATGTTGGATGGGCAGGTGGTCAAGAAATCGTATATATCTTTCCTCTGTCTGCTTCTTCTTTGTCCTGCTTGCTTGTCTTCTTCGTGTTGTGCATTATTATTATGGTCATTCTTCGTCCTTGTTCTTAATTGTTTTTTGTTTTCTTGTCTTGCTTCTTCTTATTCATCCCGCTCTCTGCTTGTTTCTTCTTTATCCTGCTTGCTTATCTTGTTATGAAGAATCCTAGCGCCAACCTAGCGCTGCCTTGCTGTATCACCATAGTCTTCTGGGGGCCTGCTTCTAAACGAAGACTTAAAGCACATCTCCAACCACAAAAGTTTACGTTTATCTATTTAGTTTGAGTAGGGCTTTTTGAGCGCAGTCCATACATTGCAATATCTGTCTGCAAATATGATCTAAAACCAGCCAAGTTCGGCAGAACATGTTGCATGGTTGGAAGATCCTATAGGTCTCTCTCTCATTGCCTTTGGCAGATCCTCTATACCGAAGCTCGTCCTCCTCTTCCAGTGCCTCCCCAGAAGTTCGCCCGAGACGCCGGCGGATCGTTCGGATCCACCTCGCCCGGGACACAGGCGCTGCGGCACGCGGCCCAGTGCCTCGGACGGCCGCCCGGAGCTGGGAGGTCACGCAGGCGGGAGGAGCGAAGACGCTGGTCATGTCATGTCATGTTTGGTGGGGAGAGGATGAACACCATGTCATGAATTCACATGTTTTTGATCGTTTTTGGTTGGTTCTCTCTTCGCTTCAACCGTTTTCACCCGCTTTTCACCAAGATGCTCGTCCTTTTCGTAACAGGTGTAGCTGGGATCCTGACAACAGCCTGTCGATCGGCAATCTTCGCCTGCCAAATGGAAGACATGCGCGAGGCATTTCGGTGGGTCCAAACGATTCCCACCAGATTCCTGGAAGAATCAGATGCATTGGATACCTCCTTGCTTTGTCCTGCGGGAAAGCTTCTTGGTGCTTCAAGAACTTAGAGTTCCAATGAAACAATATGAACTGTCAAAAAAATACAACAAAACATAACCAAATGAATAAGTAAAATAACGTTAAAGATCAAAAAAATACGATCTGGTGGAACCTCCGAAAAATAAGGGTGCAGAAATGAATCTACACGTCCCTCCTTCCTGCACAACAGATACCGGTGATGCTTGTTGGATGCTCATGAGCTCATTTGTTGGTGGATCTAAACCACCAGGCCCTGGAGGCCCTGGGACCGGAAGGAAAGGATTCCTTCGGGAAAGCTATTCCTTCGTGTTCGCCCTTCGACCACTCCCCAAACGACACTCCTTGAGCCTGGTTTTGGTGAAAATCCTTGAACATTCTCTGTCAAACTATGCTGCTTGTTTAGGATTCAAGCCAATTTCGAATGAACTGATTCAAGCCAATTCTGTGCGATTCAGCCCAATTTCAAGGCAATTTCAATTGCGAATCCGATGTCCCTTGACCGCTAACAACCGCCTCCGTCCCAACAAAGATGGGCGTCAAAGACAGCATGAAAACCAACTCACTCGCTCACGAGTCACGAGTCATGCGGCAGAAAGAACACCCAAACCCTGCACTTCATCTTGGGGGAACCAAAAAACACCCAAACCGATCTTCCATGAGCTTCCAAAAAACTCCAGGGAGCTTCCAAAAAGACACCTGAGATGTTGGCTTCCATGTGTTCCTTCCAACATCCGCGGACATCGCCCGCCTGGGATGGAGCAGCGGCTCTCCACGCAGGTCTCCACCGTCCAGGTCGTCGTCGTGGTCGTGTGGGGCGTCGGTCGACCTGGAGATGATATGAAGACTCACGCAGCATGGAAGAAATCGGTAAAAGAAAACCTCCAGGGAGGTCTTGTGGTGAGTAGGTGGGAAGGACTGGGGGATTACAGGATGGTTGATGGACTGAACCATGGACTTCATCGAAAGCCATCGAAATAGCATTTGGGCCTTAGCATTCGTTTCAAAGCCGCGGAACAAAAAACGATCCATCCATAGATGTGACCTTCAGAAGATTCCACCAAAACCATGAGATTTTCCGATTGAAGTTCTTCCATGTTCCCAAGAAGATGGGTGGGACTTCCTCTTGGGGCTCGGCACATCTATTTTGTAGCCTTTGTAGGCCGGGTTCTCCCCATGTTTTGCGGTCAACCTCACGTGCCAACAAGGTCTTGCAACACCGGGCACGTGCCAACAAGGTGTTTTGGTGTTTTTTGTTGTTGACAGCGAAGGTCAAAGCCCAAAGGTGAAAGGTGTCCCACTGGGTGGCCCAAAAAGTGGCCAGGGAAGCATGGCGACTGAGTGCTGCTTGGATTCCGAATTGTCACTTTCACCAAGTCCTTCCCCCCCAAACCCACACACACCAGGTGGAAGAAGGAGGCAACGGCTACCGCAGCAGCGCGCAGCAAGTCGCCCAAAATCAAGGTCCAATGCAAACACATGAGAATCATGAGAAGAGAGAGTCATGATGAAAACCAGCTGAATATTCCTTTCGCAACAACGATGTGCCCTTCGCAACCCCCGGAACCGGAGATGTTCCGCTCTTGAAACCAGCCGAAATCCCATGTAGTCTCCCTGAAGAAGTGGAAGTGGACCATGTTTGTCGAGGAAAATGGGTCTTTGCAGGGGATGATTTTCCAGTTCCACGATTGGGTACTGAAGCTTCGGGTCTTCTCGATTCGTGGGTGGTAACTCATCCACTTAAGGGGGTCGTGGTGGCAGAATATGGACCTATAGGACGTAGATGGTGCGAGCGACTGCGAGTGTTTCCAGGCTTTGGAAGTGAATCCGGCTGCGCTGACCAACTAAAGGCTTGGTTGATCATGTTAAATCGTTCCTTCTGTCCTCCCAGTGGGATTACAAGATGACTCAGACAGCACCAGGGATCATATCATACACCCCAACCAGGCGGCTGGACGAACTTGAGGAGCTTGAGGAAGTGCTTGAAGATGTGCTTGAGGATGTGCTTGAAGATGTGCTTGAGGAAGTGCTTGAGGAGGTGCTTGAGGATGTGCTTGATGTGCTTGAGGAAGTGCTTGAGGAGGAACTTGATGTGCTTCCACCAATGATCTCGCAGCTCCAAGGAGTTTGGTATTCCTTGGCAGTGCGAGCCGCGCGGTCTGCCGCGCGGAGCCGTCTCGGTCTGCCGCGGCGGCTCGGACTCGGTCCCGTTGCGGGGTGAGTCGCCCGGTTTCGTCCTGTCGCGTTGAGCTGGTTGGGTCCTCCCGTTCGTATGAGGCCCAAAGGCAGGCTCAGTGTTGGAACCCTCACAACGAGGGTGAACTGGACCGAACCAACATGTAGCAGTTGGTTTGGGTCCAGGATCGGGTCTGGGTGGATGTGATTTTTGAATAGGGAGAACCCGCTGGGTAGACTGGTCTATTGAACCGATCTCAGGGGTGGGAACACCGGTTGGAGGTCTCCCTATTTCAAGACACAACCATATCATCTCATATATACCACCTGCTTGGGCCAATGAAGGCCTAGAATACCAGAAGTGGAGGGCATTCCAGCCAGGATCCCCCGAACCGGTAGGTGCTCCGACGGTAGGTGGCCAGAAGCTTGCGCTCTTCGACCCCACTGAACCGGTCGCTGTATTCGGAATCATGGGGCTCACAGCAGTCACAGGTCGCTCGGGGTGGTGTGGCTCGTCCCTGACAACGTGAGTGGAGGTGACAGGGGCACCCCGATCCTACCTCGATGGATCGCACCCCGAGCTATGTGACTGCAGGGAACAGATGTTTGAAGTTCTCCTTGGTGGAGGCCATCGCTAGTAACGCTACTAGGTTGGAGGCCATTAGTAACGCTAGTAGGTTGGAGGCCATCGCTAGTAGGCCATCTTCCAACTTGCACCTCGCCGGTGCACGGAGGCCTTCTCTGACCTGGATGGAGGGAAATGAGACTTTGGATACTTCCAGCTACTTCGAGCATCTTCCAGCCCTTGGACTCCTGGCAAAAAATCTGAAAAGGACCACCAGTCAAGGACCACCATGTCGAGAACCCCTAGGCCTAGGCTTCCAAACCACCGTGATTTTCATGGCTTCTGCCGAACTACCATTGTTTCACGCACGTTTCACTTAAGGATTTTACACTGCAGGTCCCCTGGTCCACCTTTTCTATTTTGGACTCCCAGGGCCCTACTTCGGATGGCGTTTCATCACGGCACACAGGAAGTGAGGTTAGTAACCTAAAGCACGTCGGATCCTTCAAAAGCATGCCAGCCAGCCCCCCACACCACAGTCCAAAGCCCCCCGCGCCACACTCCACAATTTGCTCTCTCAGACACCAGCTGTCTCAGAGTTGAACAATCTAAGCCCCCCCCCATCCCTTGTTCCCCCCTCCAAACTCTTCTCGTTCAGCGTCAGGCGGGTCATCTGGATTGATCGCTCCTGGCAGACTCGTTCGACGGCGGTGACTCCTCCGGTGAAACCGCACCGCACCGGTCCCGAAGTAGATGGACAGGCCCCCAGGACACCCTCTGTTTTGCATGGCATTGACTGACTGTCATGCATGATGTTACATTCAAAAAAAAAGGTCGAATTCCTACCTCTTCCCTGCTCATCGTGACGTCTGAAACATGGCGAAAAAACGGCTCTGAATTGGGACTTGGAGTGGGTGAAACTGAACCCGGACTCTGAATGGTTCGGAATCGAGACACGGATGGATGGCCAGGTCTGTGATGGCCAGGGGAGACCTGGCCGTCCCACCTAGTTCGGATCTGTAAGCCGAACCTCTCTTTGATGGAAAGGCACTCCGCAAACCTCGCTGCATGCCCGGAAGTTCGACCAGCTGCCATGCGGGTTCACCCGCCATCTCGCTCGTACACCAAGTTCGACCCACCTGGAACCTGAAAAGGAATGAAGGAGCCCCTAATACCTTCTTGCTCCTAGTAGCGATGCCCTTGCTCCTAGTAGCGTCCTTGCTCCTAGTAGTAAGGCCAGGGGCCCCTAGTAGCGTCCTTGCTCCTAATTCCAGTCTGGTCCATGACATCAGGTTCCATGTGAATCTTCCTGTGTAAGTTCACACTTAAAACACTTGGGGTTCTTGCGGCAAAGGTAGTCTTAGGCACCCAACACCTGCATTCAACAAATCACATCCATGACATCTTGCACCCACAAAAAGGATTGTTAGCTGCGAACAAAAAAAGACAGCGAATATCCGCTCCTGGTGTGCAACTGGAGCGACAGCCAGCCCAGCTCGAATCCTTCTCATAGCAGGTCTTCTGCTCATCCACGCAGCATTCCGTAGAACGGCAGTCTTCCGTGTCGGTTGAACAGCCCAGCACCGCGCAGGTCCAGGGCGTTCGATACTCCTCGAGGTGGGGTGCACGGCGAGGAGACAATCTGCTAACGAGCCAATTCATCTCTCCAACAATCTTTGAGGTCAGGTGTTTCTTGTTTGATCGTCTCATCCCAACCTGAAAAATCATGAAACATCTCGACTCCAGAACACGTTCTGAACGGGGCAGACCAATGAGTCCAGCAAGTCCGGTTTCCACCGTCCACCATCGGTGACCCAAACGAGATCACTCGGCTCAAACCGCAGGGATTGCTTGGATGATGTTGGATGCGGGATTGCTTGGAACCTGACTAGGACTAGCCCAATCAGCCTGGCATATCCACAAACGTTTTGGGGTGTCACAAAAACAACATGTAGCCAAATTCAGCGTCTGGCTGCTCTGTGTGCGTTGAAGAGCGTCTAGCTGATTCTATGCATGTGCGCGGGCGGTGCGGGTGATTGATTTCATTTGATTCTACATGCCTGAAACGGTTGGCAGAAGTCCCCCAAAACTTGGAAGATTGTGCTTGGATGTGCCTGGTCCACGGAGAAATTCTTTATAAGCCTCGTCGGGTAAGCGGTGATATACCGCTCCCAGGGCATCCAGGCAGGCAAACCACGAGAGCTCGCTGGGAGTCCCAGTGGTTCCAGTTCGACGACCAAACCAGTTCGACCGGTTCCGAATCCCTGGTTCCTTATCTAGGGTCTGCCTGGAATGCACTGGGACTTGTACAAATCAAACGAAGGAACGAAGCCTCACGAAGCCTCGAAAAAAATAAAAGAAAAACCGGTTGCGGTGAAGGCTGTGATGGGGATTCTTGGGGTGTACATTCATAGGGAGACGGGAGACCAACCGGCGTTCCGACCTCCTGGGGCTTGGCTCGGGAAATAGACCCGGAAAGACCCCTTTTGGGGTCTCCCTATTCCAAACATCTTTCAACTACACACCCATCAGTTGCTGCCCAACCGTGCCACCCAACCGTGCCACGCCTCTCCGTCCGGGTGCTCCCGCCGTGTCGCCCCGTCTCTCCGCTCTCCGGCTCCGAGCCGCTGGCGGGTCGTGAGGATCCACTTCACCAGCACGGCAGGTGCCTGTTGCACGACACCCCGCCCAGTACGCGTTCTTCTCCTTGGAGCCGGAGTCGCCGGGAGTCGCCCTTGTTCGGGTTTGGGTGTCGGCCGCTGCACCGTTCGGCGCCTTTTCGAGTGGCGAGGGACGAGCGGGGGTGATCGGATCGGTCCTTGGCTATCGTGGGGGGGTGGGAAGCTGGTGAAGATGTTACCTGCAAACCCCACCTTCCCACCTTCCCAAGCTGGTGAAGATAGTGGGGGAGGGGGGAAGGCGCCAGCTTGAGATCCTTTAGAAAGGACGTGTCTGTTTGGGACACTGTAAAAGGGTTTCCAGGTAGATCCTAAAGTGATGTTGTTCTGGTGATTTATCAAAAACGAGATGTGACCCGGTTTGTAGTGTGCAACGGCTGGTCCTGGTTCCAACACTCTCAAACCTGCCGCCAGGTGTCGTAGCACGTGTAACCCTGATCCTCGCAACAACCTGCACAAGCGCATTAGGAACAAGCTGCGGGTGAGGATTCATGGCATGACATCGCCAGAAACAACGACCGGAGTGTGGGGACATTACTCCTGCAAAAGCTGCAGCGATCGAGCCTGGCAGGGGCAAGGACCGCCAGACTGGCAAGGTTGGGAACTTTGGAGAGACCTCCTGGGTTTCTTGTTCAGCGAGTTCAACTCAGAGAAATATGCGTCAATGGGTTAACTCATCTGAAGTTAAAAGTTGAACAGAAATCTCTTAAACCACCACCCAGCTTGTTGCTCAGTGACTTTCAACCTCCCAAGACGATCAAAGTTCATGCATGACATCGCCCAGCTCAGCTCTGGCTGTGTATTGCATCTATGGAGGCCTCGTTGAGGGACACCCACGGCCGGGGGTCTAGCGCGTCGTTCGCGCGTTTTCCCGGGCCGTCGTGGCGTCTCCTCTGAGGTCGACGAGTGGTCAAAACCAGTCGCCCCCCCAAGACCCACGTGGATAGATTGACGTTCTCGCCCTGGCTGTGAAGAAGCTGTAGGCATTTTCAGTTCCAGCTCGCTGTGGTGAATGCTAAGAGCCTAGGTGAATGTTGCTAGAGCTGCTAAGCCCAGTTGGAGGTATAGGTTCAACCTGCAAAAACCTAGCTCCCCGCACCTGTGTTTCGACAATCTTCACCCTCAGCTGAGCAGTGTCCTGAACTCCCACACGACTGGGGAACGCCGTGCCGAACCAGCAGAACCTGGAGTATGCAAGGGGTGCCCAATGGAAGCCTATAGGAGTGTAGGGTAGTCCATTGGACACCCCTTGGATGGTCCTGGAAGATTTCGATCTTTCTTCCGTGTTTTTCATTTTCTAAATATGTTCAGGGAAGGACCATTTTAGACAACATCTGCATTTAACATCATTTAACTCATATCAGGAATTACCAAAACCTCCAAATCGAAGGGTCGGCCCTAGTACCTAATGAAACATCCCTGTCCCGAAACTGCATTATAGGGCCATTGTAATATTGAAAATTAGGAAAGGTCGTATTTCAACAACAAATTGCCTTCAGGGCTTTCCGACATGCAGCTAGTTCTACTACTGGGCAGTGTTTCTTTTGATACGCAGTCTATGATGATTGACCCCTATTTGGGGGACATACTGAGGCCTAAAGTCTGTACAACTGGAGGGAGGGAGGATGCTCGTGCATTTATATAAACAGGTGAAAGGGATTCCTAGATGACAAATACATGATTCATCATGATTCCATGATTCTGTAGATGTCTAAAAATGAGCTCGTCCTAATTGGCCATCCTCATCCTACAGCTATACTCATTCAATCCAGCTCGTTTTTCCCATGGTTTTGCACGCGACCCATGGCGATCCCATCAGCCAGCTAGCGCTCCGCTTCCGTCTCCGCTCCCGTCTCGCGCGCCGCTTCGCCCTGGTCCTGGCGTGCGGAGCTGCAGAAGAGCGCTCCCCTCACAGGACATGTCCAGCGACCCAGTCGTCAGCCCTGCACCCGAGCTTGCGCCCGACATCACCTGCGCGCGGGTGTTGGAAGACCAATGAGTGGTGGTGAAAAACGGACCGTGGACCTCGCGCAGGTGAACAGAGGTACTGGTCACCCCGGTGAAAAACACCTGCAAAGCGTCCAGGTGTGGTGTTTCTAGCGCTTTAGGCCCGGAACCAACCAGCTACATCGAAGCGCGCCAAGCGCCATGGCGCACCAGGCGCACCGCGTCGATGCCAGGGCGCGTGCGCGTGTAGGTTGTCGCCGATTCCAGGACCCGACTCTGAGGGGTTGTCTATGTCCATATAGCCTCTTAGACGGTGGGTTTGGGCGCGTCCTAAAGTCTGTACCTGATGGCGTCCGACTGCCACGTTCGTAGCTTCTTGTTACGTTCGTAGCGATGGCCTCCAACCTATTTGCGATGGCTTTGTTACCAGTAGGTAAGGTCCTGGTATAGTGATCATGCAGTGATCGCCGATCGCAGGCACGGGTACCGCAAAGCAGCGTAACCCCCCGAGTTGGACCGCCCCGTCCAGGACAATGTGGCACTCGCCGGCCTCATTCAATTTCCAACTTACAGAAAGCAATAGGCCTTGCAAAACCAAAGCACGTGACCAAAGACAGACATCCCTGTAGAAAGCAAACTATAATTATACTACTCTATGACTCTATATACCAAAACAAGGTTTGTCTGGACGCGGCAAGCGCCTTGCCTTGAGGTTGTTCTACTGGTTTGAGGATGTCCGCCCTCCAACCGCCGCACTGGGGAAGAGCAGCTTTGGCTTGCGCCGCAGCTTATTGGTGCGTTGATCAAACCGGCGCAAGCCACGGACGATCCCCCACCGAAAAAAAACAACAATAACTTACTAGGGATCGTCGGGATCGACCTCGGGGTCATCTTCGGGCGGCTCTTCTTCGGGGTGCTCCTCAACCGCCCCACCCCCGCCACGACCATCCACACCCTCCCCCTTTCCATCGGTCCTGCCAAGAAACAACAAAAGCGAGCGAATTGGTGATGCAATCGCAGCAGCGAGCCAGGCCTTATTATCTGCCACGCTCCCGCCAATGCTGGTCGAAGACCTTCGTCAGCGTAGTTGGCTGCCCCCGAAGGGGGGCACGCCGCTGCAGCAGTTGTCCTGCCACAGGCCTCACCACTAACTTTAAGAATTGTCCCGGCAAGAGACCCCAAACAGTGTGTGTGTGTGTGAGGGCTCGAGGTGTAGGAGCAGAACGTCTAGAGCTGCGCCTGCCGCGAAATCTGCACTTACTTCCAGGTTCACAAAGCGCTGCGCCTGCCACGAAATCTGCGCTTCGAGGTTCACAAAGCGCTGCGCTAGCCACGAAATCTGCATTTCGAGGTTCACAAGGTGCTGCGCCTGTCCAGAAATCTGCGCTTTGAGGTTCACAAAGCGCTGCGCCTGCCACGAAATCTGCGCTCTGAGGTTCACAAAGTGCTGCGCCTGCAACGAAATCTGCGCTTCCAGTTCACAAATTATTTGCTGCCCCTGCTACGAAATCTCCACTTCAAGGCTCACAAAGCGCTACGCCTGCCACGAAATCTGTACTTCGAGGTCCACAAAGTGCTGTGCCTGCCACGAAATCTGCACACAAAGTGCTGCGCCTGTCCACGAAATCTGCAAACGAGCCACATGTCCAAAAGTCACGATTCACTGCAACTCTCACGAAGTCAGAATGCCTCGAAGATCACCACATGGCCAAAGTGCTGCGCCTGCCACGATCTACATTTCGAAGTGAGCCGGTCCGACCCCTTGCGCTTTGGACCACCAAAACACGACGTTTCCGACGCCTGTAAGGGTGAGAAAAACAGCCAAAGGCATTCTTGGCAACACTTCAGATGCCAGGTTATTGACACAAAAGAGTCGCGCAGTAAGAGTAAGCAATAGAGAGCAATTAGCGAACCCGTACACCCAGCCAAGGCGCGTGTAGGCGTGGGCACCTGAGCGCGACTCGCAATCAGGAGGTGTGATAGTGGATAGTAGGTGTAGTAGTGGTAGTAGTAGTGGTAGTGGTTGTAGTAGTAGTAGTAGTAGTAGTCGTGGTGGTGGTGGTGGTAGTAGTAGTCATAGTGGTAGTGGTAGTATAGCAATAGTAGTAGTAGTAGTAGTAGTAGTAGTAGTAGTAGTAGTAGTAGTAGT